AGAGAGAGAGAGAGAGAGAGAGAGAGAAAGATTGTTTGATGACTTGGAGGAGGCTCTGCAGAAGCAGTGAGGGATGGGCAAGTACACCCAGTGCACAGAGAGGAGGAGAAAGAGCAAAGCCTGCCGGAGTGGAGGGAGGTGTGGGCAGCTTATGAGGACCAAGAGCAAAGCCCCAGAAACCAGGATGCAACCTTATCTCTCTGGGGAATCTGCAGGTCCCTGCCATCCATGCTTGGCAGGGCCAGAGACCCTGCTGGAGGTGAGAGTGATTCATTCTGAGAGATCACTGGAGACAATGAGGGGGCCATCTAAGGAGAAAGAAGAGAGGGTAAAACAAATGTGGGTAGCCCCTCTTGACTTAAGAACAAATAATCCTTCCTTAAGGATAAGAAAAGGCCGACTTGAACTCAACTCGACCTTGTAAAGTTCACCTAGAGGCAAAATGTCAGACATCTGTAATTAGTGAAATAATTTAATTTAAATGTTCAGCAAATCTAGTTATAATGTAATCTGTAGCATCCTGAGTGAGTCCTTCTCAAGCTGTATGGCTGGTTTTAATAACTCTTTTCAGAAAACAGAGAAGCTGCATTTTCATATCTGAAAATATCTGTTGCCAGGTGAACCTGGCCCATCATTGCTTATTTAATGGGTGCCCAGGTGGGCAGAGGCTCTTGTCAGTCCGAGGTGAGAAGATACAGGATTGATCTCTGAATACAGAGTTATACTTGCAGAAAAAGGAAAGAAAGAAACACAAAGAATTGTAAAAATTGAGAGCAAGGAGAACCCATAAATATCTCCTGTGCCAGCTTCCTTCACTCATCATTTTACAGGTGAGGAAACCAAGGTTCCAAAAGAATTGTGGAATTCCACACTCTTAAAATGTCAGTGCTGGAATTCAGGTCTCTGTATTTCACGAATGTTCCTGTCTAGACAGGATAAACAGCCATAATCACATCTAATTCTCTTGGTCCACCCCTCTTGACAGTCGGCAAATTCCTGGGCTCTTGCAAATATGGAGATCTCTAAGGCTCAGGAGGGTGTCCACGTTTCTTCTGTTTCTATTTGTATGCACATTTTTAACATTGCTTGAGAGTATATCAGTTGAAGGCATGCCCTTTTATTTCCACCAAGAAAAATCACAAGTTTATTGCAAAGTCACCAACAGAGCTTCCTTTGGATCTCTGCACATGGAAAAATACCACTGTCTACACTCAAACTTGGACTCTTTCTTAAGCCACCTCATCAACTTGTTTGTTGCAAGTCATTTGGCTGGTGGACTAGAGATTGTTCTGTGAATCAAGATGACATTTAATGACCACAATCTTATTTTATGGAAACAGTTTCCAAGGCAGACTTTTGAGAAGAAAAGCCACGCTTACTGGAATGTTTACAAATCAGTTTACCTACAGTCACTTCACTGGACCTCTCCTGCCACCTGTGGCACCTCTGCACAACCTCCCTCATCCTTGAGTCTGAGAAGAGAAGGCATTTGCTCCATGTGTTCTGACTGCGTGCTTAGGACCACTGGGGACATAGATAGGCTACGTTATAGGAAGAACATTTTGGGAGAGAGATACATCTCTTTGCCCTGATAACTAAGTACAAAGTCTGAAGTTTGTAAATAACAATGACTGTGCCACCAGAAATTGGCTACATGACCCAGGTGTCTATTGGGACCAGAATAGTGAGGTAATAGTGGCAAAAGAACAGGTCGCACTGGTGGAGTCTAGAATCACATATCCAGGGATTGATTAAAGGCCAGGGATCTGACTGAAGAATGAGGCCACATAGCCGGGGAATGAGTTCAGAGGTAGATCCGAAAATGCAGAAATAAGCCTATAGGGAAAAGAGGAAGACAGATTCTAACACAGTTATCAAAAATCTGGACTGAGAGTGCAAGCTCTATTCTATCTCTTTAACAGGTCAAGGTCAGGGATTGTTGAAAGCACAAAAGAATTGGCAGAAACTTTATAGAAAGGTGGCAGGCAGCAGTTAGAAGAAAATTGGTCATGGAAAAATTGGTCTATGCTTTCTAACTTTCTGGCAAGGGAAGAAGAAGACTAGACAATCCCTAATGTCTCTTCTACTTTAGTCTCTCTTTGGCTACTTCTGTGGGTCTTAGGTTGTTTAGACAGGCACTGATTACCAGATTCAATAGAGTAGAAAACCAAGACCAAACAAGCAAAGTAATTTGATTACAGCCACCCAGCTAAGGAATGGCTTCTCTTGAACTAAAGCTAAGGTCTCCTAATGACAGTGAGGCCAAAATAGTAGAAGATAAGAAGTTTAAATAATAAAATGCATCCTGATTCTGTTGCTTAGGTTAACCTTTTCATTTCCCTGACTTCCTCGTCTATAAAAAGAGGTTTTAATAACAACTATTTTTTAGGATGGTTGCAAGTTAAATTAGATAAAATAATGTGTGCATAAGCTATAAAATAAAAAGTTATACAAATATAATGTATGCTTATGTCTACATCATTACTCTTATTTTTTAGAAGTCTTTAGTGAACAAAACTGAACAGTTTCAACTTATCATAAAAACTTTCAGATACTAGATTGCACCAAGAATTCCTACACATGCCATGAATCTCAAAACAATTTCTTTTCTTCCACTCAAAAAAGAACATCAACAAATAAAAACATATTGACCACCTACTACTATGTGTAGGTCCTCCATGTGCCGTACAAACTCAGGCACCCTGAACCAACATCATAAATGACCCCCTCCTTCCAAACAGCCAGAAAATGGCTACTGCAGAAAACTGTATGATGGCAATATAGCATTTTATCTCAACAAGAAATTTGACCCCAAAAGTCTCTGAATGTTTCTCAGAGTGGTGAGAGTCAGCCTTTTCAGACATTCCCAGGCTCAGACGAGCAATTCCCATGAATGCTCATTAGACAGAGATCTATGACACAGCCCCTACGTAGAGCAGGGTATCTGTCAAGTTTCAAAAGGCTTAAACAAGGGATCTCAGTACTTCATAAATCTAAAGCTTAACAGGCTCTATTTTTTATATTTGCCTCAAGCCACATTATCGCCACCATCACTATTAATCACAGGCTTCATATTGAGATATGCTTTCTTTTGCATGGGGAACTTACACATTTCTAGTCATCAGGGAGCATAAAACAAAAAGTGGTTTTGGTATACCTCCCAATTTGTATAGCAAAATGGCTTTATTACTAGCTTGAGGATTTAAGGGGCAGCTTGTCCAAATCCTCCAGCCTATCCCCATGGCTTAGTAGAACTGAGCAATTTCAATACAAAGCACTTCAATTTTAAAAATGTTTCTAAAGGGGCAAAAACAAAAAAACAAACAAAAAAAAAATTTAGATACCAGATACAAAAAGTGAAAAGATAGAAGAGATAACAATTGCCCTTCTTTCTATTCTCTTACCCCGGACCCTGGGTTAGAGGATGCCTTTGTGGTCTGACCATTTCTCCCTTTACGTGTAGAAGGTGGAGGTGATATGTATGACTCCCTGGAATGTGATTTGGAGGCTGCTGTCCCTAAGCCCAATTGTTTAAGCTGCTGATTCCCCAAGGGAAGCCATGAAGGATCCACTAATGTCCCCCACTGCCACACGTACAGGTGGCCCTGACAAGTCATCTCATCGTACACCTGCCCCTGTCACGCACCTGCCCACAGCCCCTGCTCCTGTTTCCTTTACTCCCTGAGCCATTTCCTTTTGAGGCTCAGTCAGAAGGTATGATCTAATCAGTACTGGCTCAACTGCTTTTTCTTACCTAAGGAGACAGTTTGCTTTTAGTTATACAGCAAAGAAAAACATTTCTCTGGTCGGGTCTTAGGAACCACCATACAATTATCTCTAATTTAATGTACATACCAAACAAAAACAGACTTGGAATATAACCCTAAGCACAAGCAGCATAACTTTTAATTTTCCTCCCAAAGGATATAATCCTAACGATGGTCTGCAGAAATTTTTCCTATACAGGCTGACAAGCACTTTCCTTCTTCCCCACCAGCCCCAGTCCTATGGGATAATAACAAATGAAATTTTATAAAACCCTCTAAGCAGAAGAAAAAATGCCAGTTATCACTCCTGCCCTAAACAGGCAAACATTGCACTAAATTAGTCAAATTCTTAGCCCTTTGTTGTGGGTTTATGTAAATTAGATTGTGGCTGTAAATGCTTAGAGCCTGGCAGAAGGTCAGCACTCCAGCCATGATGGAGGGGGTAGACTTGGGGTGCAGGGAGGGCTTTCCCAATGCATCACTGTGACAAGAATCTCTCAATGGGAACCAAAGCCCTCGGGGACAGCACTACTGCAGTCACTCAGAGTGTGTCCTGCACAAGGGTACCCAACCAGGGAGTAAGGGGGGCTGAAATCAAGGCCACAAGCTGCACACCTTAAGCCCAGAAAAGGTGTCTTTTAAAATTCACCCAGAGCCCCATTCACTTGGCATAACATGTGTCCACAGAGCTGCCAGGCCATCCTCACTTAGGACCTGGGGAGGGTCACCTGACAGTATATGAGGATCCCATCCATCCTCCCTCCTTGTTCAGCTCAGACACACCCTCTGATCAATCTTTCTAGAAGAAGGGGGAGGAGGGCATTGGAGGGTAGAGAAGGAAGCATTTTTGCTGGACACTAATGGGGATCAGGGGCAGCTGTGTGCAGCCCAGCCTGGCAGCTTGTGTCCTGGATTGTGTCCTCTTGACCTTGGCTAGCCAACCTTCAGTGCTGTGTCTGCCTCCAACCAGAGGCAGAACCAGATGTGCTGCTCTGGCTGTCAGTGTCCAAGCCCAGCCCACCAGCTCAATGCTCCTTCCCCCACCTTTCCCTGTCCTAATCCCAGGCACAGACACAAGCCTCCCTCCCTACCTGTGGGGCCAATGCAGAAACCCACAAAGGCTCCTGGAAAAATTCAATCAAGAGGGAGAACAGAGACCCTCTGATGGATACAGTACTCTTCCCCGTCTATAGGAGGTATTTGTGAACATGTACTCACCTTCCTGTCTTTCAGGGGTGACATAAAATGAGAATATGCTTGTTTGGCCTGCAAGCCTTTCTTGATCTGCCACTGCCAGCCTAAATCATCAGCCCTACATATGGACCTTCCCTGCCCTGCACTGCTGCTGGGACAGCACTCAACTGCTCTTCACTCCAGCTGTCCCCACGGTTGAGGGTCAACCCCTGCATTCTGCTTTGGGATCCTCTGCACTTGCTTGCATGGCGATGATTACCTCTGTCTCTGCAGAACTCTACTGAAACTGTAAGTACTGGAGGAAAAGTACCATGTCTTACTCAGCTCTGAATACCCAGCACTTAGCACAGCACCCAGCTATTGCATGAATGACCAAATTGAATGAATGACCCATGGAAGTGGTTTCAGCGAGCATAATTTTGTTTTGAATGCATTTAAATGAGAAGAACAACGTGATGATACAGGAGCATTTGGAAGCAGGAATGTTTCTTTTCTTTATTTTTGTTTTTCTTCTTTCTTTTTTCTTTTCTTTCTTTCTGTCTTTGTAATTTTGTTTTGAGGACTGTCTAAACTGATAGAGTCAATCCCTTTAGGCCACATGAAGGAAGGCGAAGACAGACAACAACCTGGGTAAAGTCTATGGATGAGGAATAAGCAATTGAGGGCTATCAGATTTCCTCACTCAGTGAAAACAAAGGGCAAGTGCAGGTAGCAAGAGTGTACTTCCGGTGGGCAGCAGAACCACAGGCACCTACGACTTGAGGATCCCAGTGCCAGGGCTGCTTGAGTGCTCAGCAACTCAGGACGGATGATAAGACAAGGGGGAGCTGGTAGACTGGCAAGAAGTGGGAGAATCAAGGACTAGATGTCTCTGGGAGACAGAAGAACAGGGATGTGAGGCAGAGTGGGTCCGTGCTAGGAGGACAGGGGACTGTGACCAGATCTCTGACACCAAGGAGTTCCAAGAGGTGCTGAGCAATGTGTGCTGAAGGAAAAGAGGACATAAGGCCATGAAGTGAGTAGGTGGAGAAACTGCAAGGCCCAGGTATAGGTTACCTCACTCACCTGGCTCAGGAAGTCACCCAGGATGGTGGCATGACTTGGAATGGAGAGGAAGCTGTGCCGTAGACACAGGCGTCAGACCTAAGGAAGCAGTGTCTGCCTATGGGTGAGGGAGAAATGGTCTGCAAGTGGGTACAAGAGGGGAGTCAGAGTTTTCCGCTATCCCTTCCCCACAGCCCTCTTTCCCTGGGCCATTAGACCCCAGGAATACACACCGGCTTCCTACCATGCATTCTCAGAAGCACTCGTCTGCTGCAATTGGACTCCCCAGTTCTCAATTCTTCCTTCAACAGAGACTGCAGGCACCAACCTTCTTTACTCTTCTTTTGAAGCTGTTGCCACCTACGAAGAGCCTTTGGAATTCTGCTCCCTAAAATCCAGCTATGGAGGGTGGTGCTCTCATGCCACGCCAATTTTGAACCAAGGTGCCCTTGTGCCATGCAAGAGCCCTGCTGGAACCCTAGATCTCAAGTACCAACCAAGCAAAAGGGGAGAGGCGTGGGAACAAAGGCATGGGTTGTAAGGGACACTCTATCAGAAAACAGCACAATTCATAGTTGGCAACGTGGAGAGATGTGATGGGCCAGGCCGTGGGACTGAGAGTTGGCGCCCACACCAGTGACGGCTTGAGAGCAGCCCAAGGTCCTTCACTTTGACATGGAAATAAACACAGCTCACATTTTGGAAGCCAACGATCTGATTGAAATATGGAAAACTATGCTAAGAATGTCATCTGTTTCCAACTAAACCGATAACCTGAAATGAAACATATTGCTGAGAAAATGCTCTCAAAAATGCCCAGACAATTCAGTGCTAGGGGCTGGCTCCCTTCTGCATCTGCTAGCTCTTCAATGTGTGTAGATTGTCAGCTAACCTGGGCTGAGCTTCTGTTCACAGCAGCTCCTGGCTTTTACAAATGAGGAACTAATGCCGAGAGAGGGAGAGTGATTTGCTTAAAATCCCAGAGCAGGTGAGGAGCAGAATCTGAAGTGGCCCTTACTCTCCTAACCACTAATTCAACCTCTTCCCACCACAGTGTGGGACAACTGGAGGGGAATAAAAGATTCAGTTCTGAGCATTGGCTTCGTCTCCCATGTAATTTAATAGCAATAATGTTCCGGCTACTACTAGATGTAAATACTACTTAGAAAGCTTCTTCAGTTCATTGCCTCTCCCCTGTATACTTACTCATGTCACTGTCTTCCAGATTACATGCTGATATATAATAACATGCTGTGGCGAAACCTGGATGTACCTTTATTCTGACAATGTGTTTTGTAAGAGTCATTTTTCATGCTTATAACAGCTTGATGGTCTAAATTTTTTGGAACAATATTATCTCCAGTATTCAAACATTACATCCCTCTATTTCACATTTCCAACTATTTATTTTCTGTCCATAGTGATGGTTTTTCAAATTGATTTCTAAGTGGATTTAAGCTTATATCTTCATAAGACTTTTCAAGTAAACCAATTCACAAATCAGGAAAATGATCCTACATTAGACTATAAATTCTAATCTGTGATTTGGGAAAGATAATTACTAACATAACATAAAATCATTTCCCCCTCTACCTTAAATTAAATGTAAGCCTTGTTTTTACAAATTAATATTTGTGCTCCCAAAATCTGAAGAAGAAGAAAATGTAGTTAAGACCAATATTATACCCATTAGTTATAAAAACTTACAGAAAACTAGAAATAAAAGGGGATTCCCTTAAATTAATCAAAAGTTATCTTCAAACACCTATAGAAAACATGATATTGCATCAGAAATACTAAAAACATTCTCTTGAGATAGGGAATTAAAGTAAGAACTCCATTATCACTTCTATTCAGCATTGTATTGGTGGTTCTATTCTATGCAATAAGGCAAGAAAAGGAAATAAAACGATGTAAGAATTAGAAAGATATATGCTTGTGACTATTTATTATCTGATTGTATACATGAAAAATCTAAAAGAATCAATAAACCAATTATTAGAATTATTACATATAATATTTTATTTCTGTATACTAGCAATGATTAGAAAAATCAAAATTTTAAAAATCCATTACAATAGCATCAAGTAAAATATTAAATACCTTTAGATAAAGCTAGCAAAATTTGTGTAAGATGTCTATGCTGACAACTATATTATAGAGAGTAACTAAGGAAAACAGACATAAATGGAGAAATCATGTTTATTGACTGGAATATCCAATGCTATAGAGTTGTCAATTCTCCCACACAGAGATCGACAGATTTAAATTAATCCAAATAAAAACTCCAGCAGGTATTTTTGTGGAAATTGACAAGATCATTCTAAAAATTAAATGGAAATGTAAAGAGTCAAGCATTTCCAAGACAATTTAGGGAAAGAAGATAAAGCTTTATACTACCATCCATCAGATTTAATATAAACGTTCAATAATTAAGACATTAGTATTAGTATAGAGAAATACAACACAATAGAAATGACCAGAGACCCACACCCTTATGGACATCTGATTTATTACAAAGGCAACACTGAAGGCCAGTTTAAAAAGAGTACTTTTTAATAAGTGGGTACCTTTTCCCACATGGAAAAAAGTAAATTTTGACCTTTATCACACACCACACCCAAAATTCAATGACAGGTGATTACAGGTTGACATTTAAAAGACAACACAATAAAGCTTTAAAACACAACATAGAATGATATCCTTATGACCATGGTTTAGGCAAAGATTTCTTTAGAAGGACACAAAAGTGAATAACCTTAAAGATAAAAGCTGGTAAATTGGACTTCTTTAAAATAAACTCTTACTTATTAAAGAAACCAAGCCAAAGAGTAGGAAATGTTTGCAATACCTGTAATAAGAACTCATATTCAGAATATATTAAAAAGTTCTATTAAAATCAAAAAGACAAAGACAGATAAGCCATTTATTTAAATTTCAAAAGATTTAACTAGTCACTTCATTAAAAAATATTTTCAAATGGTCAAGTATATAAAAAGATACACAACATTATGAGTAGTCAGGGAAATGTAAATTAAAATTATAAAAGATACCACTTCATACCCACTAAAATTATGAAAATTAAAACGACAGAAAATATCAATACATTGCTAGAGGCAGTATAAAGTCAATTAACCATTTGCAGCAAAACTAAAGTTGTACTTACACATATTCTATATCACAGTAATATCATCCCTATGTATATACACTTAATGGAAATCTGTACATATATCTACCAAAATATGTGACAAGAATGTTCACAAAACTGAAAAATACAAATGCCCATCAACAATAGATAGGATGAATAAGTCATGTTATATTCGTAAAATGGAATACTTTTCAACAACAAAAATGGAAACCACTGTTGCACTACTATTTCTCAGAAGTTCTTCTTCATCATAGCTGTGCACTTAAACTAAAAAACTACCAGTGTGTTCCACATTACCTTCACAGGAGCATTCTACCAGGTAGAGGTGATCTTAGCTCCTGCCCAGACAAGAGGTCATAGCCCTGAAGTTGGGGCTGGGTTCGTGCCATGCCCTAACAAACTCATGAGACTACCTCCCTGTAGGGAGGGCCCTGAGATCCCTGGGAGTTTGGTGGCCTCTAAGAATCCCAGAAATCTGGAAGACTTAAAGGTCCTAATTTAGTCCACACTTTCAGCTGACAAGATGAAAAGCTGAGGCCAAGGGAGGAAAAGAAACCTAATGAGAGTCACAAGCTCATCACTGGCACTACCTTACAATTGTCTCCTTCTCTTAGACACATTTTCCATTCACAATGCTCCAGTTATTGTGAAGTTGAAGAACAATATAGAAATGCATTCAAGTCATATCTTTGGTTAAAGGAAATAGTCTATTTTATGGTTTATGTTTCAATTTTCTGTGTACCAATAAAAATGCATAAGCTGCAGAGAAACTGTATATTGCTCTATGTGGGCATAATATAGATTTACAGTCTGTGAAGGAAATACCAAGATTCCCTGGCACATAAAAATTCAGACATTAAAACA